AGGTCCCCCACCAGCCCCTCGCAGCAGCAGCACAGGGGGCAGACCCCCAACTGCCCCCACCACCGCCAGCCGTGGGGATGGGGGGGGGGCCAGACTCCCCCCTGCCACAGGCACCTCGGGGGGCTGCAGCTGGACGTTGGGCACCTCTGCGGCCTGGAGATGGACATTTGTCACCTCCATGGGCTGGAGATGGACATTTGTAACCTCTCTGGGCTTAAGCTGGACGTTGGGCACCTTCACGGTCTTGAGCTGGATGTTGGGTACCTCCTCCATGGTCTTGAGTTGGATGTCGGGCACCTCCATAGTCTTGAGCTGGATGTTGGATACCTCCATGGTCTTCAGTTGGACATTGGGTACCTCCTCCATGGTCTTGAGCTGGATGTTGGGCACCTCCTCCATGATCTTGGGTTGGACATTGGGCACCTCCATGGTCTTGAGTTGGATGTTGGGCACCTCCTCTGTGGTCTGCAGCTGGACATCAGGCACCTCCGAGGTCTTGAGTTGGATGCTGGGCACCTCCATCATTTGGTGACAGGAGTTCAGCACTTCAGTGGCCTGGAGATGGACACTTGTCACCTCCATAGTCTTCAGTTGGATGTTGGGTACCTCTGTGATCTTGAGATGGATGTTGGGCACCTCCATCATTTGGTGATGGACACTGGACACCTCAGTGTCTTGGAGATGGACATTGGTCATCTCTGTGGTCTGAAGATGGACACTGGGCACCTCCGTGACTTGGAGATGGACACTGGGCACCTCAGTGGTTTGGTGACGCACACTAGGCACCTCAGTGGTCTGGAGATGGACTCTGGGCACCTCTGTATCCTGTAGATGGACATTTGTCACCTCCATGGCTTGGGGATGGATGCTGGGCACCTCAGTGGCTTGCAGCTGGACAGTGGTCACCTCTGCATCCTGGAGATGGACGCTGGGGATCTCTGTGGCCTGGAGATTGACATTTGTCACCTCCGTGGTTTGGGGATGGATGCTGGGCACCTCAGTGGCTTGCAGCGGGTCAGTGGTGACCTCTGCGTCCTGGAGATGGACACTGGGCACCTCCACGGTTTCTTGATGGATGTCGGTCACCTCACTGGCTTGCAGGTGGACACTGGTCACCTTGGTGGTCGGGAGATGGACGCTGGGCACGTCTGTGGCTTGGAGATGGATGTTGGGGACTTCAGTGTTTTCGAGATGGACATTGGGCACCTCAGTGGTTTCAAGATGGACACTGGGCACCTCTGTGGTTTGAAGCTGGATGTTGGACACCTCCATGGCCTGGAGCTGGACATCGCGCACCTCTGTGGCCTGGAGATGGATGTTGGGCACCTCTGTGGGCTCAAGATGGACACTGGGGACCTCCGTGGTTTGGAGATGGATACTAGGGACCTCAGTGGTTTGGAGATGGACACTAGGGACCTCTGTGGCTTGGAGACTGATGTCAGGTACCTTGGTGGTTTGGAGATGGACATTTGTCACCTCTGTGGCCTGCAGCTGGACGTTGGGTACCTCCATGGACTGGAGATGGATACTGGGTGCCTCTGTGGCCTGGAGATGGACATCTGTCACCTCTGTGGCCTGGAGATGGATGCTGGGCATCTCTGAGGGCTGCGGCAGGGCTTGCAGCTGGATGTTGGTGATCTCGGAGGGCTGTGGCAGGGCTTGCAGCTGGACATTTGTCACCTCAGTGGCCTGCAGGTGGATGTTGGTGACGTCCGAAGGTTGTGGCAGGGCTTGGAGATGAACATTTGTCACCTCAGTGGCCTGCAGCTGGATGTCAGTGACATCCAAGGGTTGTGATAGGGCTTGGAGCTGGATGTTGGTCACCTTGGAGGGTTGTGGCAGGGCTTGGAGCTGGACATTTGCCACCTCAGTGGCCTGCAGCTGGATGTTGGTGACCTCAGAGGGTTGTGGCAGGGCTCGGAGCTGGAGGTTGGTAACATCCAAGGGTTGTGGCAGGGCTTGCAGCTGGACATTTGTAACCTCTGCAGCCTGCAGCTGGATGTTGGTGACATCCGAGGGTTGTGGCAGAGCATGGAGCTGGATGTTGGTGACATCTGAGGGGTGCGGCAGAGCATGGAGCTGGACATTGGCCACCTTGGAGGGCTGTGGCAGGGCTTGCAGCTGGACATTTGTCACCTCACTAGCTTGGAGCTGGATGTTGGTGACATCCAAGGGCTGTGGCAGGGCTTGGAGCTGGACATTTGTCACCTCAGCAGCTTGGAGATGGATGTTGGTGACATCCAAGGGCTGTGGCAGGGCTTGGAGCTGGACATTTGTCACCTCAGCAGCTTGGAGATGGATGTTGGTGACATCCAAGGGCTGTGGCAGGGCTTGGAGCTGGACATTCGTCACCTCAGCAGCTTGGAGCTGGATGTTGGTAACATCCAAGGGCTGCGGCAGGGCTTGGAGCTGGACACTTGTCACCTCCGTGGCTTGCAGCTGGACATTTGTCACCTCGGCAGCTTGGAGTTGGATGTTGGTGACCTCCAAGGGTTGTGGCAGGGCTTGGAGCTGGACATTGGTCACCTCGGCTGCCTGCAGCTGGATGCCA